GAACGCGTGGTGGCACCCCCCCTAACACGTAATATTTTCTCGCCCCTTTTGACTTATCTGTGAATACACGTCATTCTAGAGAAGAATCGAAAAGCCAGAAACATTGAAGAAATTTTGTGCGTTCGGAAATAAAACGGGAAATATTCTCTTTCGGCGCATTCCGCCCTTCTTTTAATTCTATATATATGGAAGCTAATTGTGGTTAACCGATTAGACAACTATCATGGGACGAGATCGCTGTGTATGTGTGTGTGTGCTAATGATAATTGCGTTTCGCTCGTGCCGAAATGGCTGGTGCAAAGTGTCCGTAGCGTTAGCGCGTAATGTGTGAGTTTGTCATGCGTGTCACGTGCGCCCGCTTAACAGTTTCCACTGTTTGCGGAAGTCAATGGTAAAGTGTCGCTCTCGCGAGCCTGAAGTTTCCGGAGAAAAGCTCTTTCTCACCTGACACACGCGACACACCACTCTCTTTCGTCGCGCGATCGGGAAATACGTCGAATCGAAATCGAATGTGCCGGTGGTTCTCTAGAAACCGTGAGATCGGTCGTTCTTTTCTCGAGATAATGTCGTAAATTTCTTGCGAATCAGGCGACAAAAAGCGGCCAAATTGCCGCGTCGTAGTCCGTCAAACTGGATTTCGCACGTCCGAGAGAGAGAAAGAGGCACGGTTTCACGGCTTTATACCATCGCACTGACAAACGTTCGTTTTCTTCCGGCGTACGACGTAGAAACGGCGCGCCGCCCAATGAGAGCGCGATTCGCTCTCTCCTCGGGGTCTCGAGAGCGCGAGAGCATAAACGGGAGTAAACTGCTGCTGAATTAGGTTGACGAACTTCACGGAGCGCTTCGAGAGCGCGACGGCGACGTCGGCGTTCGAGTACACCCGGCACTGCGTCTGTTAACGAGCTTAAATTATGTCGTTACAGCTTCGGAGAGAGTCCTCCATGTTACGTTCAACGTCGAATGATGGGCTGTGTATATTGCTGGGCTTGGCCTGTTTTTAGCGCGAGAGCGAAAACGTTTTTAGCCAACACGTTTTCACATTTCGAATGCAATTAGCGTCGCTACTCTCGTCAATACATAAATCTTAGATCATATCTGGCAATAGATCGCTTGAACAATGGATAACGTGGATAAATTGTATTGACATTTGTAAAAGAGGAAATCTCGAAATTGACGATTTTTTTTTCTAGTTTAATCCGTTTCTGAGGAAAGCAAGCATATATATATATATATATATATATATATATATATATATATATATATATATATACGTGCATCGATAGTATTTTTTTCTCACGAATAAATTCTGCTTTATTTAAAATTTGTAAAATATATTTTTGATTTACTGATTATTTCTGCACTAAATTTTTTACTTGACACATAAAGATAATTTATTTGAGAACGTCAAAACGATCTATAACCACATTAGTTCCTGCATCAACACTGGAATTCGATTTAATCCATTTATTTTAAACTTTTGTCCTAAATTATAAAGTTATAAATAAAAAAAATTTACAAGCACAGTTACATAAGTGTATTAATTATTCAAATTTTAATACTTCATAACTAATGAAAATCTTTTTTGCTCTCATTTAATTATTTTTCGCTGACACTATATTTAAATAAAACTTGTTTTTCCATCTTATGTGTATACGTTTCTCCATCAGATTACATCACATATATTTTTATCGTCGGGAAAACTAGGTTCGTCGCTTTTAAATTTCTCCGTGATATTTATGTGACGAGAAAAAATAGATCGCACGTTGCTTCACTATGCTATTTAGCCCTTATCGACAAAAAGAATAGATCGAACGCTTCCCTCATGCTCGTTTATTCGCTCGTGTCTCGAATATCATCGACGATCTCACGTATCGTCTAAAAAATCGTGCCTCGGTCGCTCATTTGTCCTGGTTTGACGTTTTCGCTGATAGTTTCGTTATACTTTTTGCTTAGAACCACCCCTCACGTGTAAACGAATCGTAAGCTATCCAGCAATGAACAGCGACGAGAGAGCTACCAACGGTATCCCGGAGGGTTAGCTCGCGTATATGGATCCGGAGATTGCGATGCACCCGTGTGCAAGCGAAAATGAAGAAGCCGCGCGGGAGCCAGACTTTGACGTTTGATCCTTGAAGCAGCCGGTCGGTATCTCGTGAATTTTCTCGACAGTTCATATGTAGTAGCGCAATTACAGCGCGCAAGAATATCGCGCATGACTGATGATACTGCAAATATATATACGCGGAAATGAGTACTTTATGATATGTCACCGATGGCGATTGATATAGAATGCTGTGTATTTAGTACTATAATAAAATGTTAAAAAAAATATATGTACTATATATACATGAATAAAAATACCGGAAGTCAATCTTTAAAAGTGGCTGTCACAATTACATTTTAAAAAACGAGCGTGCACGCTGAAGAGTTTAAGCATTAACCGACCCAAATTTTGATTTATGATCGCAAACATTATTATATGATGCATATAAGATATACTTTATGTGCATGTGAAATTTTTCGCCATAAAATTTCTCGTCGACGCTTTACTCCCCAAGATATATACACAATATCATGTGTATGTTTATATATATATATATATATATATATATATATATATATATATATATATATATATATATACACTTTCACATGCTCACCGACATCGAGGGATAAGCAGAAAAATGCCACAACCGAGATCAAAGTCAATAAACTCGAGTAACAAACAGAATGTAATCTTCTAAAAGCTACGTTCGCGTCCTCGAAATAAATATATCTGGCGCGCCGGGTTCGCCTTGAGATCCGGCAAGAGTTCAAGTATACCGTTTCGCCTTCCGTGCGTTTCCGGTGGACCGTATCCCTTGCATCTTTCAACGTTCATTTAAACTTCCACTTTGCTCATCGTTATCATGTTCAAAAAACCTTTCTCTTCTCCTCACATAGTTTTTTTTGTGCATTCTTACGCTCGAAAAAGCGATAGAAGCAAAGAAATAAAAAGGAGGGAAAGAATCACTCAATAGAGAGAGAGAGAGAGAAGAGAAAGAAGGCGAGAGAGAGGGAACGAGAATGTTCGGAACGCGCTATTTTATCGTAGTGGTTAGATGCGCCCCGCAGGCGTCTACCGTTAAGAAGACGAAAACGACGACGTCGGTGATGAAACGTGCCGTCGACCCGCGTGTGCTCGAAGCTACATGAAAATCCCATAGTCGTACCGCTGGCTGAGAGCACTCGTCGCGCGACAGAGACGGATAAAGGCGGAGAGAGAGACTCGGCGAGAGGACCCGGAGAATTATTACAACGGCAAAACGGGGGATAGGTCATGCTGTTGCCGCAGCAATACGCGGCGACGCAATTTGCACTTGTTGCCGTCAACACAGACTGTGCATTAAGCTTTATTAAACTGGTGCGACAAGTGTTTAATTTAAAATTACTTCTGGGGGACAGAGAAAGGGATGGGGAGAAAGGAGTGGTAAGAATGTCGGCGGCGTTATTCAAAATTAGATCACGTGTTCGAGAAATAAAGAGAATCTATCTCGCGCTCGTGTCAAGTAGCTTTTCAACGCTAGGGATATCGATCGCAGCCGAGATCATCTCGTTCTCGTTCTCGTGCCTCCGGACGGTTTGATTAATTGATAGAATCGATTCTGTGCGGTCCACCGAGTTTATGCGAGTGTAAGCTCATTTCGAGTACATTGTCAAGCTGTATTGTCAACTTGACTTGAGCCGGAATAGAAAAGCATTAAGTATGTATGACGCTTGAAAGCGGACATAAAATCAGGGTAAATCTTTGCGTAGTGACCACAAATTTAGCTACGCGAAATAAATTTGCGCAAAAGGGTCATGCGCGATATACGTGAGAGATACATATATGTCGCAAGTCAAATTGCGAATTGTTTTTTTTCGCTGTACATATAAATATTGTTAATTAAAAGCGCCAGGGGATGACGTGAAATATAAGCTTGTTCGGTACTTTTTACATCGCCACTGCGCGGTGATGTCACGGGACAGTAGAAAACACAGTAGACTTCCCTGAAAAGCGAATGGTGCACGTACGGAACATCAAGCTAGGAATGTTGCGTTAGACACGTTCGAATGATGCACGTACAATGGGGTACAGTTGTGGTACATGTTGAGCTGTCAGTAACAAAGTAGACCAACTGAGAGTAAACAGACGCGAGCTGTAGATTGCAAAACTATATATACATACACACACACACACACTTTGAAATGCCATCGCGCGATTAGAGCAGCGTTGATTTAAGCGACGTTTTGAATTTGAACGTTTAACTTTATAAACTGGCAAAGGGATAACGAGAAACAACTCTGGATAACTTGACTGAATATCGTTTTCGCATTTGCCTTAAACATTATGGTCCGTAATACACTCAGCGCGAAACTATACGCTACCGGTCTTATAAATATTCTCTCGCTATCGTTTTCAGAAACTTTTCCCTGTGCTTCGTTTTCGAGATGAAGCTCTTAGTTCGTGAATCGCGGCGAGAAAAGTGAAAATAGGTAGCGAGTCTGTAAAATCCGATCGTAGAGAAAGCCAATATCCTAACCAAGATCGATACCAACCATATAAATATTGTTCGGTACTCCAATTGACGGCACATCTCTAGTTTGTCACTGAAAGCCAATATTTATTTCACTGGACCGAGAAACGAGAGAGAGAGAGAGAGAGAGAGAGAGAGAGAGAGAGAGAGCTTGCGCAAAAGACATGTATATTACATCTCTTTGCAAAAAAAGAATTTGTTAAATAAATATGTAGCCATCAATATCAAGCCGCGCAAGTATCGGTTCGCACAGAAACATTTTCGATTAAAGTATCTTTAGCACCAAATGGTTCGATATGGAAGCTTGCAATTTCCATCGCATAAATAAATCGAAGCTTGTTGCAACGTCAATATACCGAGAGAGGGTTTCAACTCGTTCTTTCGATTGTAAAAAAAAAGCGCGACTTTACAACGGTTTAAAGTATATAATATGTATCTTACTTTTTACGTTCGTGCTTGGCAGGAAACTTCCGGAAAAGCTCGCAGCAATATCTCTGAAAGCAAAAAAGTGTATATCATATACATATATGTATATGTATGTATTTATGTAAAAATACATGTAATCGCATGTGTGTACATAAATATATTTTCATATATGCGTATTTGGTTATCATGGCTTATATAAATGTACTTATGTATTATGAATTTATACAGAGATACGATGACGCGTATCGATTCGTGCGCTATAATGCACATCAGATACTCTTTACATGGATTAACGTACAGGATGCGTAGCGTGTTCATTACAAGCGAATCTATGAACATTACCTCCGCGCTGGTAGCGCATTAATGCGAGATAATACTGATTTATGTGGAGCCTTACGGTCGAGTTTAGGTCCGTTGTGTCACATGTACTTCCATACAATGTGAATTTCGGTCAGGATATCGATCAAACGTATGCACCAACGGTTCTATCGCGATTTTATGTCATGTTCCATTATCTTATGATGCTTGAAATACAGATAATGTGACAAATGTTATCCCGTCTTTTATTTTTATTTCAACAGTTTTCATTTTCTCACACCTTGTTTTCATAAATTAAGATGATGAAGATAAAGAGGAAAAAAACAATTATCCTTACAATTAGTTGCAACATTTTATATTAATTTTATGTTACACGGTCATCGAGGATTGCATCTTACGGTTGAACAGTTTCGAGACTTTCCGATGGAATTTGTCCGTGACGTAATCGCGATCGCAAGGTCGGAAAATTGATACGAAGGTTCGCAGAAAAGAAACGCGCCGTAGCAAAGATGGAGATTGGCAGTTCGCCAGGGCGCAGCTCCATGGAGAAGAAAAGAGCCGTGCATCATTGATGACTTTGATGGTTCTGAGATGCACCGTACCGCCTCTCCATTCCTCACAATGCAAGATGCATCGTTGGTTTCGCGAGTTAGCGAAGTATACATCGCGGATGCATCGCGGAATGAGAAGACGGAAATCGGAAACGGAAAATCCCGTAATTCGATTATCGTATATATACATGTATGTGTATCTAGTAAAGTATGTACCGCGACGCATATAAAGCACTATGTTCATGCCGTCGAAATAAATCGCGGCGAATTCATAACGGAAACAAATTCGACCGAACCCGACGTTATACGCGCCGTGTTATTGCCGTGTGCTCGCGTCCGGTCAAAATCGAGCGCGCGAGCAAAGCACCGTGGACAATATTCGAAAAGCGCACTTCATCCGTGCCAATTTTCGTGCTCGTTAATCGCGAGTTACGTCCCTCATCCGATTATGATTCGATACCCGTCGTTGCAATTCCCGTTGCCGTGTCGACTGTAATATCGTGGGGCACATATCAAAAATTTGCTGTAGCGTATTCAGCGTTGTGACGTGTCCGAGCCAACCTTTCGCTTCTCTGATTTGTTCAACTTTGCGAGATCTTGACTAACCCGCATGCATCAAAGTTATTTGAAAAACAAAAAAAAACAGAGAAAAAAAGAAATAAATGTAGAAATAATGAAAAGCAATCGGTCGGATAAGTGCGCCAGATAATATGCATTCTGTATTGATGTATGAGAGAGAGAGAGAGAGAGGGAGAGAAAGAGCGGGAAATAATGCAAAGTGTGCAACTGGCAAACGAGAGATACGGTGCGAGTAAGTGTCCGAGCCAACCTTTCGCTTCTCTGATTTGTTCAACTTTGCGAGATCTTGACCGACCCGCATGCATCAAAGTTATTTGAAAAACAAAAAAAACAGAGAAAAAAAAGAAATAAATGTAAAAATAATGAAAAGCAATCGGTCGGATAAGTGCGCCAGATAATATGCATTCTGTATTGATGTATGAGAGAGAGAGAGGGAGAGAAAGAGCGGGAAATAATGCAAAGTGTGCAACTGGCAAACGAGAGATACGGTGCGAGTTAGCTGTCAGCGCAGCTGTGACTAGTTCCATCGTCGAGCAAATCGGTCCTCCCTGCTTCTATAATAACAGGAGACGAAGAAACAGTGGAGCACAGGGTCCATGTGATGCGACGTCCTCTGAAATTAAACGTAACGATTCATGCAGTAAAAGCGCAAGAGCACCGTACCATTATATGCTGAAATTAATTCACGTCGAAGACCAGTACGTAACATTGAGAGAAAATTGGAAAAGGAACTAAAACTATAAATCATAGTATATATAGAGTGACCCTCTTGCGATAGCAAACACCGATGTAATTAAATGAACCTCGTTTGTCTTAGAATAGAATCAGCTTTCATTCTGATTAGAAATCGAGATATTTTTGTAAATTTTATTATTTGGAAAACAGCATTCTCTCTTCGTAATTATTTAAAACCGTTACCTTTTATTCTAGTTTCGATAAACACATACAAATTACACGCTTAAAACTTTAATGTGACTTTTTCAACACTTACCATTTCCAATTTTACTCTTCGCTGTATACGTGTACGTTCGATTTTGCTTTTGGCACACACATGTGCACATATACATAAAGATTTCATTTCTCGTAATTAATACATATAATAAAGATTTCATTTCTCGTAATTAATAATATCGAAGAAAAATCTCAATTTTTATTAAAATTCTCTTTATAGTAAAAGTTAATTATATGAAAATCCATATACTCTCTCGATATATATAGCTAATGTACAGATATATGTAAAGAGATGTATTGAAAATATTATTATGTATTAAGTCGAAGAGGAATGAACCGTGTCGTTTGAATTTTATGTTATCGAAAAATACGGTAAATTAATTCGCAATATTAACGGAAGCACAATGTGCATTATAGTCGTAGGAAATAATTTATGACGTACTTTATCCCCCGACTCGCTATTGAAAGCATTCGTCGCCATTGCGGTAATCGTTAAAGGAACTTCGCCAGTCGCGGGAATCGACTATTAAGAAAACTCGATATTCAAATCGATCGCCACGCCATGGCCGTAAACTACTGTCAGTCTCATAAATTCGGGAGAGATGCAAATTACGTGGAAACATTAAGGCATCCGTGTGACAAGTAATAGCACGGCATTCGTTATCATCGTAAAGTATTCTTCTGCGCGAACAAGTTTTTGCATTATCGTTACAAAATGTTAACGCGCGTGATCCAAAAGTCACGTTTGCCACGTGTATTTACTTTCGCAAACTCCATCATGGCTCCATATGCACGGACACATATTGCCGAAAGCTACCATGCGAACTTTTTTCGCGCGCGACTCCGGCAAGAAGAGTTTAATTTCCGTTTTTAACATTTTTATCTCAGAGTAGGAAATATAAATGTACAACTAACGAAGTGCGAACAACAGGGTATTATAGCTGCGCGGATGTAATCAAGAAGCTTTGCTCCCTCTCTCTCTTTCTCTCTCTCCTTCTATTCGTCATTTCAAAGAATTTTCAATTCCAGAGGAATCCTATTTTATCGTAGCGTAGTAATTAGGACAGAGATTATTACAACTGTGGCGTGTACAATAATGCGACGTCTCGGCCCTCCGACAGCAAATTACGAAACTCCGAACTCTGCAAGTAAACTCTGGTCGGTCCGATACGGAGGAAGATCCCTAGCACCAGGACCGAGTTTACTTTGGCGTTCCAAAGTACCACAACTCTCGCAATCCGCCTACGAAATAGCATATTATAATAACTTATCGTTAATTTCGGCCCGCTTCTCCCCGCCTAACTTTCATAACGGAAAAGCGCTCGTTATAGCGAGGTAACATTAAGTAGTTGGATCGATTTTCCGTATCGATACAAGACAGACGCGTTACGTTAAGTTGATACTAAGAAAATTAACGTAACTTCTTTATAGTTGCACCTTATGTAATACATGTAGGTACTTACGTATATAATATATTTCAATAACGACGAAATATTTTCTTCTCGTTAAAAACTTTTGCCGAAATGTGTGCATTGTCTTTTCTTGATTTATTGTCTAAATCAAATGCAGATTCGAAAGATGATTCTACAAATTGCCTTCATCTAATCCTCTGTACTATATATTGCTGATGAACTTAACAAAATTATCAGACGCGCTGTTTTGCAGAGCGGAAATTTGGCATAAGCGCGCAACTCTCTCGACGCAACAATTATTCAATGTGTCGTGATGCGGCAACGAGTATAATGATATATACACGTACTTATCGTAAGTCGCATTATTTCGAAGCCCTAAGATAAAATCCCCCCAGGGATAAAAGAAGCAGAATAATACGACCTTTCCTCCTTCTCCTTACATGTACGTTCTATCGAAGATGCATTACTCACGGCACATTAATCCCGAGGAACCGAAGCCGCGCCTCTTTTTGCGCCAAAGTTTTATGACGAGTAAATCGCGCTGCGCCTAGAAATTGCACCCACTCTTGTCGCATATAAACGTAAATCGTTGTCGCATTTTGGCGAGACATATTGCCCGACTCGTTGGGTCCATCGATAACTGTAACTCTCGCATGGAGCAGAATTACATGCATCCCGATGCATCGTTTAACGCAGGGTGCTGATGTTTACGATACCGTAAATCGACGTGCATGTTACACGTGTGCTAGTGCTAGTGCACTAATCGCTTCAAACGAACGTTTCTGTGAATCGATTACTCTTCAAGTCTGATACAACTTCTAATTTAAATAATCTATATGATTCCTGCTTTTCATCTTTCCCCAATAAATTAAATTACATATAGCTATATCTGTTAGTTTTTATTAATTAGCGCAATAATGAATCGATACGAGTTAAGGAAATTTTCATGGTAAATTGAAAATTTAATATTATCGTCAAATTTAATAGTAAATTGAGAGTATAACAATTGTATATTGGGAGAAATTGAATAATTTATCAGCAATCCAATACATTACACAGCCAGATTTTGCGGAAACGAATGATGCAATTAAAGAAAAATAGGACAAAAAATTTTATTTGATTTAAAAAATCATTACCGTATATTTCAGGATTTTAAAAATTTATTTAAAATAATAGATTTTTAAAAATTTATTTAAAAGAAAAAGAGATTTTTTGTAACAATAAAATATATGGAGTATTTGAAATATTTCAATATAG